ATTACATTTTTTTCTCTTTTTTAAAGATTTTGTTTCATATTTCACTATGACCAAAGTAGTATAATGTTACCATAGTAACATTGTACTACTTTGGGGAAGTGATCTATATATATATATTTTTTTTACACAATTTACTTATGGCAAAGAATTACTTTGCTATAAGCAAGCATTTACCTGAATGACATCGATTCGTTCAGGGTTTTTTTTTTTCTTAACTGTGATTTGGCCACAGCTAATCACATGACAACACAGCTGGGCTGTGATTGGCCCAACTCGTGCATGTGATCGCCGTGATGACCATTCATAGCTAGCCACTTGTATACAATGGATGGCATGAAAGAAAACCATCCTTTGTATACAACTGTCATGTGACCTGCTGTGATTGGTCACAGAAGGTCACATGGTACTGGCAACGGGGCCGGTACACAGATCTGTTATCAGCCCGTCCGAGGTACACGGCCGGTGACAAATCGCGCTGCTGCGCGGCTCTGCTGGCATGCAAACTGCGCATGCCTGAAAGGATGCCATATGGCGTCCACCTGGAGGGACCAGGGATTTTGCTGGTCGCCCTTCGGCCATAGGCCGGGCGGGAACCGGTTAAAACATGTCCAGTATAAAATTTTTTAAAAAAATCTAATTTCTTCATAAATTTAGGCCAAAATGTATTCTGCTACATGTCTTTGCTAAAACAAAATCACAATATGTGTAAATTAATTGGTCTACGTGAAAGTTATAGCATTTACAAATGGCGGTATATTTACTGGGATTCATTTTTTAAATTTTTACTAGTAATGGTGGCGATCAGCGACTTACAGCAGGGCTGCGGTGGGCATTCTGATACTGGGGGGAACTGAGTTGGTGTCACTGACATCCCCAGTGACACCAATACAGTGATCAGTGCTAACAAAATGCACTGACACTGTACTAATGGCACTGGGCAGGAAGGGGTTAACATGAGTGATCAAAGGGTTAACTGTGTGCTGGGTGTGTTTTACTATTGGGCTGTGACAGTGTGCTTCACTGTAAGCACACTGCATTGGATGGCTGTGCTGTGCACAGCCATCCAAAGCAGTGTGCACAAGCTGACAGGGAGGAGAACTGTTTTGTTTACAAACAGTTCTCCTCCCCGTCGGAGATCCTATGCAATCACTGGGCACTGGCGAGTAATAACCGGCCGGGACCCAGTGATTGACAGCCGCGGCCGCAATGGTGGCATGGGTAGGGCGCCATCCATATATATAAAAGTGATTTTGCGCACCCGTGCCACCCTGCAGCAGTATTTCTGCTATAGGGCAGTCGTGAAGCGGTTAATAAAAATCATTTAAAGGTTTTAAAGATAAACCAATTTGTCAGACAAATTTACCTTCTTATCGGTCAATCAAAGCCTAAGTGGAGGACAAAAACTATAATCTGCTGTTTCCCAACAATCCACCAATTTTAGGAGGTACAAGATTGAGCCTGCAAGCAAACTAAACTGTAGTCGTTTCCCCTGCAGTGCTCCCTAGTGGCAGAAATACATATTTCTCTTGTTTGAGAACTGCATTGAGAAGTACAGTTTATTAAAGTAAAAAAAAGACAGACAGAAGGGAATTTTAATGTAGAAGAGACAGTACAGTGTGCCGCACATGTGTAGCTCACTGCAATGCCAAATCTGACAGAACTTCAGCACATGCACTAGAGTGATGTCATCCCTGCCCAGCTAATGGCAGCAGGTGGCAAGATCTGGAAGCCGGCCGCTTGAAGATGTCAGCTGCCAGGCGGGTATATATATATATATATATATAAAATATATATGGCAAACCTATCTCAATGGCTACTCTGTTGTTCTGCTTATAAAACCTACCACCACACCAGACGTTTTTGTGTCCAAAATGTAAGAAAGGCTTCCATAATGAAAACGTCTCGTGGTGCTTCTTAGTTGTCTTTATTAGAGTTAATTAATATCTGAGTGACCAGAAAACAATCCGGATAGTACTCTATATCCTTTAAAAGGTGTTTTGTATTCCTTAAAGTGAACTAAACTCTGGTTAAAATAAAACAAAACTTTTCAAGTATGTATTCATAAAGAGGTATTAAACTCAAAACCAGAAATGTATTATGTTGCAGCTTACCAATCAGATGTGGCGGGTGCATTTGTTTTGTTTTGTTTGTCTTTTTCCCCTCTGTTTTCACCTAGTGATCTGGCCAGTGACACACCTCCATCATTGGAGTGCCTATACTCTGGATGAAGGAGCACAGGAGGCACAGTAGACAGCAGCATTGTCAGTCTGGGGGGAGGGGAGTGTTAGATGTACTAGCAGAATTAAATAAACTAAGAATGTGAAGCCAAACTCCAACTCACACTTTATAATCAGTTAGAGCAACAGTGTTTTTTTTTTGTGATGTATAAGTAAAAGCTGATCATTGTAAGCACCCCTGTCAATGTTGAATAGATTGTCTCATCTATGTAAACTCATACATTCTGTTGGAGAGCTTGTGCTTTTGAAAAACAACAGAATTGCTGGCTGGATCACCAGATGAAAATCAAAGAGTCTAAAACAAAATGAATGCAGCCATCACATGTAAGAATTGGTAAGCTGCAATATAATAAATGTTTGCTTTTGGGTTTTAGACCACTTTAATACCAAAAATATACATTATTGCTCTCAGCTTCATCCGAATCTCCAAATTCTTTTTTTATGCTACTGTGATCTGACTTCCTGTTAGAAGGTGGTTACGTTCATTCTCCATGGTCCCACTGTATGTAGGAACATAGCCACCCTTTCTTGCTCATTGGATGGACTAGGGGCTATGGACTATGGGATTTGTAGTGTGCATAGAGCAGTGCACATGACTGCAACTACACTGGTCCTTCCAAATAAAAGGAATTGAAGAGGAAAAGAAGAGGACTTTTCAAGGAGGAAGAGAAACAAAGTAAGAAACAATTTCATGAGAAATATATAACAGGGCCATTAAAGCGGAGCTCCAGTCTCCAGTGAAAAAAATAAAAGTTAGCAGTTTCCAAAACTGTAGCTTCTGAATTAAAAAAAAACACAACACCACCCACCCGTCCTAAGATCCAGCGGTGTCCTCACCAGCCGTCCTGTGTTCTTAAATGTGGGCACCTGGCTGTGACAGCATGCGGCTTCACAGCCAGGTGCCCACTGCGCATGCGTGAGCGGTGCTTTGCGTTGTGAATGCTCCTGCAGTCCTCTGGGACTTGTCATGTGTCCCAGAAGACTGCGAGGGGAGGAGAGGGAGGAGAACTTCTGCTTCCTATCACCTAGGCAATTGCAGTGGAAGTGGGAGCTGGTATCTCTCAAAGTTGGGTATCTACTTCCCAAAAAGGTGCCAACCCTTCACAGGGAGCGGGGGACAAGGCCTTAAAGCGTAACGTCCCCTTTTGGGTGGAGCGCTGCGTTAAGTAGTGGATGTGTATGGAGTATTTTTGGAGACTAAGGACACCATTTAGTGTCACCCTTTGGTAGACTGTAGCAGGGGCGGACTGACCATTTGGAAACTCGGGCACTGCCCGAGGGCCCGGGGTCAGTAGGGGGCCCCATGAGATGCCCCTGGTACCTTTTTCATAGGCTTTTTTGAGTTTGGGCAAGGACACAAGGGGCCCCATGATCCCCTATTGCCCGGGGGGGGGCCCCATGAGTTGTCAGTCCGACCCTGGACTGTAGCAATGGGCTTGTTTCTATTTTTGTGTGTTTTGAGCAAATAAACATATCACACACTTTTAATGGAATATCATTCCAAGTATAACTTTCTTCTTTATTCCAGTTATGTTTAGCACTGCGATATTTACACAAAGAAAAATGGATTGTTCACAGGGACTTATCACCAAACAACATCATGCTGGGAGAAAGAGATAAAGTAACTGTCAGTAAGTATCCATGCAGCCAAATATATTGTATTTTGTTTATTGGCCAGCCTAGTAACAGCATATCAGCTGTCTACATGGATGAAATTTATTATATCTTGGCACATTGTTCTAGACAGGTTTTTCTGATACAAGTTAAAAAATGCAAACAGAAACTGCAGCGGGGTAACACCTAACTTCGCAAGTTATGCAAAATGAAATCAAATGTAATTATATCACTTCCTCATCTCGCTTACTAGTTATAGCTATTAATATAATTTATTGATAAAATGCAGAAAACACATTATAAGATTTATTTTCTCATTGCCATCATCCTTTGAAGAAAAAAATATTTTTATAAAAATAAATAAATGCACTTTTTTTAAAAGGTAAAAAAAATGTGCATTTACTGTTTTTTTTTTTTTTTTAGGAGCCTACAAAGCATTGCACCAGCTGCCATGCAGGACTCCTGCAGAATGTCAGTGTAAGCTGTTTGCCCGTGCATCATACTGCAGGCAGTTTCAAACTGACAGGAAGAATCAAAGAACTACTTAGAGTGCTTAACAGTGCCCTGGTAGTTCGTTGAAAACTACAAGCCAACATCAACAAAGGATGTCAGTACTTATAGTTGAACTATAAGAACTCTGTGAATGAATGACGTGGTCATGTGAGTGGAGCCCCACACGTCCACGCTATTTAAAAAAAATGGCAGCTGGTACAGGGGACTTTTCCCTATACTGCTGTTACACAGAGGATCGCTGACTAACTGCAGGAGTAGGAACATGTTATATGTTCCACCATTAAAAAGGGGAGAACATATAACATGTTCCCAAAGATGAACTTATCCTTTAACCACTTGCCTACCAGGCACTTATACCCCCTTCTTTCCAGGCCAATTTTCAGCTTTCAGCGCTGTCGCACTTTGATTGACAATGCAAGATTGTACCCATATGAAATTTTTATCATTTTGTTTTTCACAAATTGAGCTTTCTTTTGGTGGTATTTAATCGCAGCTGGGCACTTTACTTTGTTTCTATTGTAAAATTTTTCAAATAGGTAATTTTTTTCTCCTTCACTGATGTGCGTTGATGAGGCAGCACTGCTGGGCACTGATAGGCAGCACTGCTGGGCACTGATAGACAGCACTAATGAGGTGTCACGGATAGGCGGCACTGATAGGCAGCACTAATGAGGTGTCAAGGATAGGCGGCACTGATAGGCAACACTGATGATGGGTACTGATAGACAGCACTGATAGGTGGCACTGACTGGCATCACTGCTGGGCACTGACTGGCGGCACTGCTGGGCACTGACTGGCACAACCTCTGGGCACTGACTGGTGGCACTGACTGGCAGCACTGCTGGGCTGCACTGATGGGCACAGGTGGGTGGCACTGGTGGGCACAGGTGGGTGGCACAGCTGGGCACAGGTAGGTGGCACTTCTGGGCACAGGTGTGTTACACTGCTGGGTGGCACAGGTGGGTGCACTGCTGGGCACAGGTGGGCGGAGCTAGTGGGCGAACTGCTGGGCACAGGTGGGTGCACTGCTGGGCACAGGTGGGCGGAGTTAGTGGGCACACTGCTGGGCACAGGTGGGCGGAACTTGTGGTTGGCACTGCTGGGCACCGATCATCAGGGCACTGATCATCAGTGCCCTGATGATAGATGCCGATCCCTGCTCTAACAACTGCCGGTTCTCGGCAGTACTTTCCTCACGATCTGACAGCGTGAGGAAAGTGCAGCCGAGAACCGGCAATTGCATTTCCCGGTGATCAGCGTGTCATTTGACACGGCTGATCATGTGGTAAAAGGCCGCTGTGATTGGCCTTTTACCACATCACGTGATCAGCGGTGTCCGTAGGACACAGCGATCATGGAGATCGCCGGGTGCGCGCCCCCTGAGAGTGCGTTCTGGGAGGACGTCATATGACGGCCACCCAGAACTGTCCGGCCGCAGTGTAGCCGTCATTCGGCTGTCTGCGGTCGGCAAGTAGTTAAGGTGGACCTGTATACTTTTCATGCATGCTAAGTAATGTTTATTTATTACCTCTGAAAGAGATCACAGGACTTCCCCTGACAATGCGCTTACCTGCTTTTATCTCCAGAAGGATGTTGCCTTCTTTGTTCAGGCATTATCCAGCATCAGCCTCTACTTCTTTAAATGAGATTCTGGTTCAGAGATGATCAGGGGCAGACTGACAACTCATGGGGCCCCCGGGCAATAGGGGATCATGGGGCCCCTGTGTCCTTGCCCAAACTCAAAAAAGCCTATGAAAAAAGTACCAGGGGCATCTCATGGGGCCCCCTACTGACCCCGGGCCCTCGGGCAGTGCCGAGTTTCCAAATGGTCAGTCCGCCCCTGGAGATGATACAATTGTGTAAATTCTAGTGTCTGTGGGGCAACTTCTGGTGCAGCTCTGCATAGAAAACAATCGGCTTCCAGGTTTTTGTGAAAATTTAGTTGAACAAGCTGAAGTTAGAAGCTCATTGGCTACCATGCACAGCTGCACTAGATTTTGCACTCTCCAGTTTTAGTAAATCAACCCCTTTGCATCTATTTCCTGTGTTCACAAATGTCTGACACAATTCTGCCCTTTGCTGCATGGTGTCACTGCATTACTTTCTACAAAGTTAACATGTTGAAGTCTGATTACTGGGGGAGGGGAGACTAAGAAAAGGCTTCGTCTTACTTTCAGAAAACTGATGAGGTTATTAGGATAGTAAAAGTCGTTTAACTGGTCCTCAAACAGGGGCTGAATGGCAACTTATGGGGAAAGTACAACCCAGAGGTCCATGGTGCAGCGAGTTAGCCCCCCTCTCATTCTCCCTCTTCCCTGCCTCCTCCCAACTTCCATCCCAGGCTGAAGCTCCAATCCAGGTAGTCTCTGCTCACTGGGTGGGTTAAGCTGGACAGCGCATGCTGCACCGACTCCAGACTCCTGAACTGCAGGGGGCTGCAGGGGACGCATTTTACTCCTCTTCACCAGGAAGCCTTTAGGCATTGGTGTGCGCAGCCTATTGCATATGCACCCCATAGCTCAAACACACACCTATGTGTGTGTGTGTTTGTATACCTAGAGTACATAACAGTATACATACACAGATATACACACACTCTTAAGCAGCCCATAGATTATACAATTTTCTTTTCTTCCACCACAGTTAGAAGGAACGAAAATCCCTCCTTCTGCGCTATTATATTCTGCCAGTGTGAGATTTCCATGCCATCAGAATACAATGATCACTGCTGGCTGCTATAATCACCGAAAGTGATTGCACCAAAAAAACCTGACAGACTGGTTGTACTTAAGTCGATACGTCGATTGACTTAAGTGCAACCAGCATGCCCATAGACGGACTGAAATTTGGATAGTTCCACCAGCCGAATTTTGATCCATCTCTGGCTGGCCTTATGAATAAATGTACACAAACATATTAGGATGAGAAGAAGGAAGGAGAAAGCGAGAAAGAGAGAAGGAAGGAAAGCGAGAGAAAGAGAGAAGGAAGGAAGAAGAGTGAGCAATAGAGAGAAGGAAGGAAAGCGAGAGATAGAGAGAAAGAAGGAGAGTGAGAGAGAGAAGGAAGAAAGGAGGGAGAGAGAGATAGAAGGAAGGAAGGAAGTAGAGCGAGAGAGAGAGAAGGAAGGAAGGAGAGCGAGAGAGAGAGAGAAGGAAGGAAGGAGAGCGAGATAGAGAGAAGGAAGGAGAGCGAGATAGAGAGAAGGAAAGAGGAGAGAGAGAGAAGGAAAGAGAGAGAGAGAGAGAAGGAAGGAAGACAAGAGAAGGAAGGAGAGAGAGAGAGAGGAAGGGAGGAGAGCGAGACAGAGAGAGAGGAAGGAAGCGAGAGAGAAGAGAAGGAAGGAGAGCGGAGAGAGAGAGAGAAGGAAGGAGAGCGAGAGAGAGAGAGAAGGAAGGAAGGAGAGCGAGAGAGAAGGAAGGAGAGCGAAAGAGGGAAGGAAGGAGAGAGGAAGGGAAGGAAGAGAGAGAGAAAGAAGGAAGGAGGAGAGGAAGAAGAGCGAGAGAGAGGAAGGAAGGAGAGAGAAGAAGGAAGGAGAGAGAGAGAAGAGAAGGAGAGGAGAGAGAGAGAGGAGAGGAGAGAGAAGAAGAAAGGAAGAGAGAGAGAGAAGGAAGGAAGAGAGAGAGAGAGGGGGAAGTAGAGCGAGAGAGAGAGAGAGAAGGAAGGAGAGCGAGAGAGATAGAGAGAAGGAAGGAGAGTGAGAGAGAGAAGAAGGAAAGGAGAGCGAGAGAGAGAGAAGGAAAGAGAGCGAGAGAGAGAGAGAGAGAGAGAGAAGGAGAGAGAGAAGGAAGAGAGAGAGAGAGAGAAGGAAGGAAGGATAGCACGAGAGAGAGAGAAGGAAGAAAGACGAGAGAGAAGGAAGGAGAGCAAGAGAGAGAGAGAAAAGGAAGGAGAGCGACACAGAGAGAGAAGGAAGGAGAGCGAAAGAGAAGGAAGGAAGGAGAGCGAGAGAGGGAAGGAAGGAGAGAGAGAGAAGGGAGGAAGGAGAGTGAGAAAGAAGGAAGGAGGGGTAGAGAGAGAGAGCGAGAGAGAGAGAAGGAAGGAAGGAGGAGAGAGAGAGAGGAGAGAAAGGAAGAAAGGAGAGCGAGAGAAGGAAGGAGAGAGAGAAGGAAGGAAGGAGAGCGAGAGAGAGAAGGAAGGATAACGAGAGAGAAGGAAAGAGAAGAGGAGAGAAAGAAAGGAGAGCAAGAGAGAGGGTGAAGGAAGGAGAGCGAGAGAGAGAGAGAAGGAAGGAAGGGGGAGAGAGAGAGAGAGAAAGAAGGAAGGAAGGAGAGAGAGAAGGAAGGAGAGAGTAGGAAGGACAGAGGAGAGAGATGGGAAGAAAGGAGAGAGAGAGAGAGAGAGAAGGAGAACGAGAGAGAGACGGAAGTAGAGCGAGAGAAAGAAAGAAGGAGAGCGAGGCAGAGAGAAGGAAGGAATGAAGGAGAGAGAGACAAAGAAGGAAGGAGAGAGAGGTCAGAGTCCCTCCTGCATTAGATTACTCACTGAGTGGCAGGAGAGAGCAGGGAGGGGTTAGACTTCACTCAAAGTGGATGGAAGGCTGGATCGGCAGGCTGCACCTTTCCTCTTCTAGCTACTGGACTTCAGAATACAGGAGGAAAGGGCTAGAGGTGGAGGAACAGAACCAGCTCTCTGTCAGTGCTAAGTCTGGGCTGTGAGAGAGTTTCTCTCTGCTTAGAGCCTTGCAGCTACTGAGGAGCCACAATCCAGCCTCTTGGGACCCGACCACTGTGGCATCACAGCGATGCAGGGGGCATTTGCTGCCCTGCCCCCATCCCCCCCCTCCGACCCAGTCCGTCCCCTTACTCAGGATCTGCTTTTTAATGATAACAGATAGTATAGTCTGGCATGTTGTAGATACTACAATTATTCATACAGAGTGAACGTACAGTTACTGAAAGGTCCAATACTAAAGTCTACTGTACTTTCTTCCCCTCCAACGATGCAACATCCTCGATTTCCCTTGCCTCTGCTAAAGTTTTTTCCCCGGTCTCCTTTTGGGTTAGAAGTCTTCATATCGGTTCTCCACCTCTGATGATGCTAATCCTGCTCATGCTCATGGAAGTTCATTCATACTGTCCCCCATTGTCTGCTGATATTGTACACTAAGCTCTGCATATTCGGGTCATTGTACAATCTGAAGAAACTTCCTAGCAGGCAGTAACAAGCATTTATTGCTGAAGAGACTTGTAATACTTCTTGCTTGCCTCCTAGCAAGCTTTTTTTTTTAGATGGCACACAGGCCTTTCTGCTAGCATTTGTTTTTTATAGTTTCACTTTATAAAATGTTACTAAACCCACAACAGTAAAATCAGTCTGTAAATGCAGTAAAGCATGGTTGTTATACTGACTGTGGAACCTAAGGGGTTAATCATCCACCCTGTGTAAAAAGGCTGTTTGATCCTGTCCTCTCTGATCCTCCCCTTCTTCTACTGTCCCCAATCCATTTGCTAATAGTACAGAGCACTACAGTAGGAGTCACTCTGCACATGCTCAGTTTAGTGTGTATTGCTAGAGAGGTTTTTTCTCCTTTGGGTGGGTGCATATGATCAGCACAGGGCCAACCAGCACTATCCAAACAGAGGATCAGGGGTTATGCAGCCTAATAGCACAGTGAGAGCAGAATGAAAACTCCTACAATCTGTACCCAGTGCTTGGCCAGACACTGACAGAAGTCACAAGACTGCTATATACTGCTGATGAGAATGTTTTGTTTTATTACTGATCTTTTACATATGTGTATATGGTCCTAGAGGGGTTAATTAAATCTAAAATAAGAGATAGCTACTGTATATTGCCTCATTGGAACTAATAAGATCCAAAGTTTCCTTCTACAGTTGTAATTGTCCAGTACAGTTTTGAATCTAATTGGTTGCTGTGGAGTAAAACAGACTTTTCTTATTTTAGGCACTTTAATAAATGCAACTCTCAGCTATTTGATTGTTGATCCCTGAATTCTGCAGTGTTGCTCTGATGCACATGAGTGCTCCACCTGCAGGTTTGAGACTTTTAGAATCTTTTCTGCAGATTGGCAAATTTACATATCATTGTATAGGAAAATATTATATGGTCCCAGGAAAATGGCTGAATGCATAATTGATCTACTAGGAAAAAATGGTTCACAGACTAAAGAAAACAAAACTAGATGGCTAAATATAAGCTAAATAAGAACTGCAATCATAATTATAAAAATACTGTTTTTTTTGCTGAGAAGAAAAACAAATTGTAATTAATCTTTCTAAGACACATTTTCATCAATGTTATATGTTTATAAGACTATTATTCAATTTATACATTGGGTTATATACAACAGACTAAGAGTTATAGGGGCAGATTTTGGGAGCAAAATCAGAAAAGGAGATATTTTTTAATAGTTTGTAATACTGTG